TTTCACTCAACTTGAGTTTTTCCAAGCTCTTTGAGTCTGTCCTGTATCCCGTAATCTCCAAATGTTTAGACGGCTGTATCATTGATGAGCAACATGGTTTTAGAAAAGGCCGTTCAATTCAAACGAACCTCATGTCTTTTGTGACTGAAACATGTCAGGAATTAGATCGTGGGCGCCAGATTGATGTCATATATACTGACTTTAGCAATGCCTTTGACAAAGTTAGTCACGCGTTACTGATTCAGAACCTTCGTGGTTATGGAATGGGAGAGAATTTGCTGAACTGGTTTAAGTCCTATCTTCGTAACAGGCCTCAGTCAGTAGTTGTTGGAGGCGCTGAGTCTACTCCCTAAATTGCGCAATCTGGTGTTCCGCAAGGATCCCATTTGCAACCGTTGCTATTCTTACTATTTGTAAACGACGTTAGGAATCATATAAAGCACTTGAAAGCGTCTCTATTCGCTGATGATTTAAAAATTTATAAAGTTATTAACACTGTCTGTGATGCTGCTCTAGTTCAAAGTGACCTTAATGGTATACAACATTGGTGCTTTTTAAATGGTATGATCCTCAATATAAACAAGTGCTTTCATATTAAATACACAAGAAAAAAAAACCACTTGTTACTGTGTAAGCTTGACAGCGCGCCATTGAAGGAGGTTCAGGAGATTCGTGACTTGGGTGTTATTATTGACAAAAAATTAACGTTTACATCACAAGTCAATAAAGTAGTCACCACATCCACACGAATGCTTGGATTTCTTAAACGGAATGCGGATTGTTTTGGTTGTACGACTAAAACAATTTTGTACAACGCTCTGGTGCGCAGTCATGTTGAATTTGGCAGTATTATATGGAATCCACTATATGCGATCCATTCGCAACGCGTTGAAAGCATTCGAAGATCTTTTACGCGGCACCTAGCTTTCATAAGCAGAGGATTTTCACATAGGCACCCGTACCATCAGCGCCTCAAAAAATTTAATGTTATCTCTGTACAATCGAAGAACTCTAGCCGGTGTTACCTTCTTGCATAAATTGCTCAATAACCATATACAGAGTAGTGACCTCTTACAGGAAATCAAATTTGTCGTCCCTTACTCATTCCCTAGGTTTAAAATCAACAATATCTTCCAAATTCCCTCTGCCAAAACCAACCTAGGAGTTCAGGCACCTCTCGTTCGAATTCTTCGCGATTTTAACAAATTGAACTCAGCTTATCCAGAGCTGGATATATTCGGTAGTGGGCTGATCGGTTTTAGAGAAAGCATTGTGGGGTGCCTTTCTCGAACCTGATTTCGCTGTTTTGATGATGATTTTTCTTTTTTTTCTGCTCTAAGTGGCAACAAACTTCTGTAATTTGATTTTATTTAATTGTGTGCTTTTACTATCGTATATGTTTTAATTGTATTTTTTAATTTTTAATTTCTATTTAAATTAAATTTTTTTTTGTGAAACTTATGCTTACATTAATTGGCACACATTTTAGATGTGAGATTTTGTAAAATAATTGGTAATTTTGGTACTGTGTGTGCTGTCGAGGGCTTAATAACTAAATAAATAAAAAAATAAAATACAAATAATTTATTTCCCTCCAGGTCAGCACTGGAGAAGAAAGCTGAACTTTATGAACATTTGACTGATAATGCTGGGCATTCTGAGTTGGCAGCACGATTCCTTGTGGATTTTAAAGAGAAGAAACAGCAAGGGATTACAAAGCCAGACGTTGAGCTGACTGAAGTTCAATTAGTTGAAAAGGAGGAGAAAGAAGATGGTGACTGGTAAATTAAAGTTTTTTATATACATTTTCAGGAAAAGTTGTAAAATAAATGCGGAACTTTTGATTAGCAACATTGCCAGTCCATGCATGGATGTTCAGCCACCAAGTTACAAAACAAGCTTCTTATCATGATTTTTGTTTCCAGGATTGAGTTTACTGACTGTTTGGGAAGAACTAGAAAATGTCTGAAATCAGACTTGGATTTTTACAAAAAACGTGATAAAGAACTAATGAAAAGAATGCCTGGATTCGAAGAGGATGAAAGTGATATGGTAAAAGCTATATACATACATATATACCTTTAAAGTTATGCTATAGTAATTTATTTATTCAGAAAACTGAATAATAAATAAAACCTTACTAGCACTGTTTTATCTCAGACAGATATATAAGGAATTAAGTTATAACATTGCAATTAGACTGTTCCAGTTTTTATGAATATGTAAATCTTTGTTTGGATTATATGGTAACCTGATCTCTAAGGCAGTGTTATGTAAGGCCACTGTCACATTTTATTTATTTATACATCTGGATTCCTAATACCTACTTACACAAATAAACAATTTTACCATTTGTAACCAGAATCCCATAGCAAGATTTAAAAACTCTGTGTATAATTTGTGTCAATCAATAATTGTAACAGCCAATTATGTCACCTGTGAATTTAAAATTTACCTTAGTCATTCAGACACTATGTTTAATGATTTTTGATTACATGCGATTTATGCAATCGCTTGATATGCATTGCGCTTGTCACCTCAAAATAGAAAACCTTTGGAGTAAGTACATACATAAATGTTTTTTTTTGTTTAAATCAAATTGCTTACATCTCACAGACTGAAAAAAAAGCAGAGCATCCATTCCTGGTGCAGAAGACCAAAGATTACCTTCAATCTCTAAGGCAGAAATGGGAAGAGAAAGAGAAAGAATTACTGGCTAAGGACGAAGATATTCATTATCAGGATATCCTCTTTGACGGTAGGAACAATTATTAATTTTTATATGACTTGTAATTGGTTATAAGTTTACTTTTCTTAAATTTGTTTGTTCATTCTAATCATATTTCTTCTGGGATAATATTAAAAAAAAAATCTGAATCTTATTTATTTTCATAAAGTGAATATTTCCTTTCATTTTAATTAAATGTAAGTAAAATAATAAAAATATAAATTTATTCCTTAAACCTTTCAGAGGCAAGAATGCATGGTGTTGGATACTATGCATTCAGTACAGATGAGTCTGAACGAAAAAAGCAAATAGAGCAACTGATGAAGGAAAGAGAGGAGACCCTCAAGGCCCAAAAGCAAGCTGAAGAGTTGAGGAAGAAAAGAGACGAGTTAGTTGCTGCTAGAGTTGCAGCTGCCAAGGCGAGGCAGAGAATGAGATTAGGACTTCCACCCGAAGACCCTGAAGGTAAGGTTTAAGAGTCTACAGTCATTTCAATGTTAATTGTTTTTTCCGTTCCGTTTTCATACAAATTCTTTTGGAGTTAGTGGGTCACGCCTGTCGATAATTTACTTTGTCCCAAGCCCTAGTATTTCTTATTGCGTAATTAGACTATGGCAGGGCTATTCAGATTTCCACAAGCTTTTCTACTCTCGAAAATTTAGGTTTCTGCTCAAATACGATTTATTAGGAAAATATGACTGTTGTAGTTAAAGATATAATTGTAAGGTTCGAATGACTTACGACTTATTAGCTATTTAACCATGGAATTGAAACCGAAAGTCGCTATTTACAGATTCAGTTTAATCTGTGTGTAAACAAATTAATAAAATGGGTTATAGTAACTTGGAAGGAAGGCGAATTTTAGTGAAATAATGGCTTTTAAGAAGACACATAGTCTATAGCTTTCCAAAATTGAAAAGTGGCGCGGAATTCGGAATAGTTTTGCTAGTCTTAATCCATTTACATTAATGCTTTGTGCTACGTTCCGTCAAAACAGAATTATCAGCAAGAAAAGTTGTGCAAATTTGATGATATTGTTTAGAAAAATGAATGTGAGAAAAATGTGTGTTACGATGAGTACAAGTTCAGTCAATGTACCCTCGAATCATTTCAACTTTGCAAATTAATTATAGTGGCTACTATGTCTTAAATTCTTAAAAGGCCGACAATGCACTTGCGATCCCTCTGGCATTGAGAGCCATGGGCGGCGGTATCACTTAACATCCGGTGAGCCTCCTGCCCGTTCAGCCCTGTTCTATAAAAAAATCTATTTTCATTAAGATCACGTTTTTTGATTTATCCCATGATTATAATTCATAACTTTAATATTGCAGATAAACAGAACGAATTTAGAAAATGTCTAATTGAATTCTTAAACGAAAAGAAAACTGAAGCAGATAATAAAGCGAATGAAGAAGAAAAAAGATTAAAAGAAGAACGTGAGAAAGAACGACAAAAAGAACGAGACGCCTATATCCGCGAATGGGACTTGGGTAAAGAAGGCGTAGATGATAAAGCTACGAAATTTAGAGTAATGACACAAGAAGAATATGTTGAAAAGCAGAGAGCTAAGCGAATCAATGAGTTTGCTCCACTTGAAGCATCTACATCTCGTAGATCTAAATTTTCATTTGATACTCAAGGAAGTAAAGTAGATACACAAACCAATATAAAAGAATGTGATTCAACTAAAAAGAAGACTTGGGCAGATGTTCGACAAGAAGTCAGGCCACTCACTCCTCCTCCACCTGAGATTAGCGATTTAAATCAAAAAGGTCTATATTTTTCATCAAAAAAATCAGAAAATTCAGTAAAATATAAGAATTTTGTTAAAAGTGGGGACCCAATTCCGATACAGAATGAATTGAGTGAAGAAGAAGACAATGTGAGAAGACATGATAAACGTCATATTGAATGTCACTCGGAAATAGCGCCACCACCAACTTACGACTATTACGGTCCTGTGCCTAAAACCTCGAAATATCCAAAACCTTTTGAATCCGATATAAGAGAATCATTTGCCCAAGGTACTAAAAGTCTAGAAACTAAGTCAACTGGTATACATTTACCTAAACATTATGACTTCACATTCGATTAATTGTAAATTAATAAAGAAACAAATATATTTTTATTCAATTTTATTCTCACAAATACATAAGCAAAAACATTAATATATACCTGCCTAGTCTAATATCACAACACGATGCCTTTTTGAATTGATAGAAGGTGAGATCATTATTGACTACAAAAGCTTTAAACTTAAAAAGGGTCTCTACAACTTTGCACATAGTAAAAATATCAATGAATAAATATTAAAGTAGACACCGCTAGCCGAGTTTTCACGCGGCGTGGGTTGCTCTGTACCTAACGCGGCGTCCGTTGTTGTGACATCATCGTCGCTAACTGTACTTTCAACCTCTTCACTTTCACTAGGAGTATCAGAATGTTCGCTCTGCAATGCTTCGGCTGTTGGCAACTTTTCACTAGTTTTAATCAGATTTTCTGCATGTTTCTCCTTACTTTCAGATATTTTTACTACTGTGGATTCTAAAATATAAGGCGTACTTACAGCTACGGAAATATTCTGTTCTTCTGCGGTGTTCTCTTCACTCGTGCCAGTTATACTAGTAACTTGTCCATTTTCCTGATGAGTGACTCTAGATGTACTAAATGTTGGCATAAATTTATCTCTGTCATTTTCGTTCATCCCGGGCTCTGTAAATGTTTTGTTTACAATATCGGGATCGACCATCGCAGCGTTCTTGTCTTCAGTTTGTACAGAGCGTACTAAAGGTTCCTTAATACTCTTTTTTGTTCTTCTTTTAAGATCCTTTTGAGTTGTAGCGATAAGTTCGGCGAAAGACGATTCCTCTCGATCTGAGTTTTGTCCATTGCAGAGATTTCCCTTGCATGGGCATGTCATTTTCCATGTTCTCGTGGTATTACAGAAATCTAGATAGCACTCATCTTGATAGATTTTGACGCAGTATCTGGATTCAACGTAAGCTGGAAAATTTAGGTTTTGGAAAGTTAGTACACCAGAATTTATAAATATTGATAAAAAATGCATCAGGTAAAACAAAAAGTTTTAGTATATTATGTATATACATATATTTAAAAAAATTATATATATATAATTAATTTATATAATATGACACCAATACATCAAACTAATAATAATATATATAAATCTGCGTCGAATTGTCGGAGAATAAGCCAAAATTTTATAAAAAGCAATAGCAAGATGTGTTACATAAATAGTAACAACAGTGACTAAATTAAGTCTTACGCGGTGCAGTGGCGACAATGGCACAATGCGGGAAGCCTGCATCGCACGTTGTCACGTGAGCTTTGGGAGCGTCACAAGGTGGCGCTCTTCTACTGCGGTGGACCTGTTCCGCTAGAGGGCCGCACCAGTAGCATTCATTCTCCGCGGCAACACCTACAAAAAAGTACATTTTAGTATTTGGTGCATGTAGGCATTGTAGCTAATAATCGACATCAATTTTTAAAATTGATGATTTTTTGCATTGGGGAAATGCCGCCTTCAGTTATAATATGGAGGCCACCATATGAAAATAAATTTGGCTTAATGTTTACTTCCACAAATGTTGCGAGATCGATCTAAAGGTATAAAGATATAAGTTCTCTAAATTATATCCTAACATTTATAGTAAAAGGGTAAAAAACAATTTCCATTTTCAGTTTTGAGCTTTCAAAATTAAGTTAATCATGCACAGAAGTGCATTCTTTTACATAAAAAGTCCTGTATAAAAAGCTATTAAAGCTAAAATTGACACATTCGATATTTCAAATACTGATGCTGTACCTAGTAACTAATACAAAAACTTAAGAAAGTGCATAAGTAATTAAATAGTAAGAATTTTGGTAATTAACGGATTTTTTTTTTATTAATAATTTTTTTTACTAATAAATATTTTCGTTACAGTTTACAGTAATTTAAACTGTACCTTGGGCTGATAGGACCATACATAAGTGATCGCGGTAAGTATCGCTCGCGTTGATTATGAACGGTTAAAAATCTATAAAGAGGATCTAAACTATTCTTCAACTATTAAATGAAGAGGACTTTGAAGGTTTTTTTACTCAATTGTAATAAAGAATTGTTCCTACGGTCAACACTCTTTATAGTCTAGAGAACTGTTACTACTCCGCAGAGTCTAGAGAAATATATTCATAAAAAGCGTTACGAAGGATCAGGTTTTATAACGCTCTGAGAAGACTTTTACGCTCAGATTCAGAGTCGACGCTAAGAATGATTTCCTTCTGGCCATTTGGTATGCCCCATCTTATAGGATTTTATGAATCACTGAATATGAGCGTGGAATTCTTATCCATATAGTTCTGATGACCACCAAAGGCTTTTACTTGGTTACAAGTTAATGTATTATATATTTATAGTAAATAGTATAATGCAAATCCACAGCAGTCATTCGATAATAAGATCACGATATCCAGGATTATCCATCTTATGCAAGAACAATTATTTAATTCAATATTATAGGTGATCAACTAGCTTCTAAACCCGACTTTATAGACCTTAATGTTTATCATGTTACCCGCTATATGTAAAATTTTATTAAAATCGATTTTGAGCGAATTAACGACAAAGTTACAATTTGAACTTCCTAACATCTTTGTTACGAAAATGATACTTAAATTTTTACTGTAAGAAATGGGCGGCGCAGACAAAATATATACTTTCAAACACTTATATTCTTTATAACAATGGAAGATGACAAATGCGAAATACATGTAATTTTTTTTAAATTTGTCTTAGTTGTATATTAAACATTAGGTGGGTGGTGAGTAAGTTCATACCTTCTTTAAAACATTATTATTGAGCGATTGATCAATAACCGACATATTTGTCTGACCGTTGCATTCTTATCATCATTTTTTTAAAGAATGTAGTTGGTCAGCCTGTTATATTATGTACAATTTTTTAAATTAATACATTATACTCTTTAATACGCAGGGACAATATCTTTTATTATATATACGCATATAAATAAGAAGCTAAATAACTTTGAAAAATATGTCGCTTTTTCGTGATGCTGCTAGTCGTAGCAAGCAATTAGTAAGCATTAAAGATTGAAAACGCCGTAAAATACATTCTATTTCGAGATTACTCGAAACGTACGTTGGAATAAGTTTGTCGTGTAAATTTTTTATTGAGCGTGTAACTACAAATAGCAAACTAAAAGCAATTTACAAGTCGTAAAATTCTCTGTCTTTGTTAGGCATGGAACACAAAAAGTATTTGTTATTTTAAATGCCTGAAGTGAGTTTGTAACGCTTTTATACTTCCGTAACGAAGTCAAGTAATGATCCGATATCTCTTTAGGTACTATAATATATAAGAAACAAATCTTTATTATTATCTATTTCAGAATAAATTTAATGGTAAATATGTTGAAAAGGAGCTTTTTGTAATCATTTTATTATATGCATAACCACAATGGGTTGGCCAGAGCTAATTGATAGTTCTTTTGTGTTTCAAACAACGTATCGATTGTTGGCTGGCAAACCAATTACACATGTTAGTTGCCTTGGGAAAACAACAGATTGTTTCATGGCCTCATAAAAAATACGAAGTTAACAATTATAGAAATATTTTTTCCATCAACATAAAACAATGAAGTGCGATGCGACTTCGATACATCAAAAAAGAAAAAATAAAGTTCGATATTTAGGATATACAAAAAAAAAATGCTTTTTAAATAATCAAAGGTCAGATAATTGTAACAATATGTTATTATTAAAGGTATACTTATATTATAGTTATTTTTTATTCCTCACAAAGTTACAACATTCAAGACCAGTGTAATGAATTAAAATTTATAAAATGCGCTCGATTCGAGGAAAAATAATAATAGAAAATGTGTGGCCTTAAATTTTTTGAAATATTTATATATTTACGAAACAATAAAAACTACTGTTCACTTTACAATCAATTTAAGTCAGCAAACATTAATCAAATTTCAATAAAACACAAACCTCGAAAAAAAAATTGCTAAACAAACAACGTTATAACGTTGCCAAAGCTTTGTTTTAGAATTGAAGTATTCGTATGGAACAAAATAGAACCGAAATTATTTTATCTGCAAAAGTTCTACAGCCAACGATTATTTATTTATTTCTCGAGTACTCACCACTTAACAAAATGAACGCGGCAACGCTCAGCAAAATTGTTGATGTTGAAAACTTTCTTTCCGCCATCTGCGGCCAAGAAACATGAAAAATAGATACCAATACCACTTTACCAATTCAAACAAACATTTTAAAACAAAAAATACCTTATATTCAATAAATGTTATCCTCAGGCTACATCAAAACCTTATAAACCAAAGATCATGTAAATTCGTGCGCGCGTTCTGAGTCTACGCGCTAACTGCAAGGTTCGTAGCGCGTAGCTGTGACGTGGACATATGTCTACGGTGACACTTTATTCTGAGTCAACACGACGATTAATGAATGTGAAAACAGGGTGATCATTTATTTATGGTAGTACATACTTATATAGCAACTTAATTCTAATCGATACTCCTAAGAAGCATTTTTTAATAAATATTGGTTGTTAACAGTTGTATTAATACAATATATAGTATGGTAGTGTATACTACTTTTTTTTGTAAACGTAAGTTGACTGATATTAACCGTAACTGTATGAAATATATTACGACAATTTAATCTTCTCAATTTGATAAATAGATTCGACGAGTTGAACGCTTACTAAGAACTACATTTTTTTTACAATTCAAAATCACAATTATAATTTTAAAATTGAATAAGTTTTTAATCTATCTTCAAATATATAGTTTTGGCGATTTTAGTCAGAAGTTAAAAAAAATATTAAACAAAAACCTATTCAAAAGTTTTGATTAAATTCATATCCATTTTAACTTTAAAATGTTTGTAGGCAAACTGGAAGTAATTGGATTTTGGGTTAGATGAGCAGCTGAATTCTTGTTTGTATTAGGTATTTGGGTAGATATTGTGGTCGTGTGGCAGGCATTGTGAGCGATGTAGGTCATCTGTGCATCGCCGTGTGAGCCTGCAATGCGGTGTCTGCACTACAATCACTAATAGCTTATGTAAAAAACACCACTGACATTGATGTTCCTTTTTAAAGTTCACCTCCGTGATGTATATAATATTGACATATGATTCATGTTACTAGTTTTATTTTATCGTTATGATACTATCTATACATTTCAAATAATTATAATGCCTTTGATGGATGTTAGTCACAAACTACTTTAGGAAGCTAAATAAAAACTATTACCTCAACTATTACTTGATATTATCTATCTTTCCATCGCTCTCTTTGTTACATTGTCACAACCATGGTCATTATATAGGTTTTGCAAATGCAAAAAACAAGAAAACGAAATATGCAGCGAATAGTCTCTAGAATTGTTAAAGAAATTTCAATGTTAGGTAGGGACGGTTTATCGGTTGAATACAAAGGCAACAGAAAAACACAAAATAAATTTTCAAACAAATAGGTCAACATTTATATCAATTTAAATTGCTTCATGTACCAGTGACAAAGAAAAATTAAATAGGGAACGCGGTGAGTTCGTAAAATTGGTGCAAAATATGTACGGTTTACGGTGCTCTTGGAATATTTATGCAGAGGTGGGGTGAAGTGGTCTTTCGTCTTCATTAAGGGGCTTCCTGCTAGTGTTGTGAGAATCAGAATAAATGACACTATTTGTATAGATTTGCAATTTGAATCCTTTTTATTTCTACCGTTATATATATTTCTACGTAGTTCCGTTTAATATTTAAATGCAGAGGGCAGGCAACGTAAATATTGTTTTTATTATTCCTGAATCACGGAATACCCAGTTTTATATTTTGGTTTAAAATCAGTTTCACCTAATAAACAAATTGTATATATGTCAAATGGTCTATGAAATAATAAGATTCACTTCTGATTTAGGTAGTAGGCTTATGACCTACATTTTACTATTTTAATTATACCTAATAATTTATGGACAACAATTTTGTTTGGTGTAAAGTGTATTAGGGGTGTTCAATAGTTATTATTCAATAGTTCAGATCGTCGAGTGTATACATTGAATGTTTGATGGGTTTTTATGTTTAGCTTTTTAATAATAATATACTAACACTAGTCTGTAAGTTTATACTAACACAATGATGGATTATTTTATCTGAACAAATAAATAAATAATAATAATAATAATGCGATACATTATCCTTGGAAAGAAAAACAGAATAGTGTCAGGCATTGGGAACGTTCAATATCATATAATAATAATCAAATTATTAAAGCTAATATGAATAATGTGTTTCCTTGTTTTTGAAGAGCATAAATAATAATAATAAGTTAAGGGCTCACCTAAGAAATTTATTATAATAAACTTTTCATAGCGAAAAAACTTCATAAGATATTTGAAATAATGTCAAAGCACATTATGTATGAGCGTGCATCACGTATGTTTATGGCCCCGGCGAAGCGTGCCGCGTCTTTTATAGTAGATATACGTGTTATCAATACACTGTTACACCAAACCGGCACTTTATATTTTAAATTAAGTTTGCAGTAAGATGCTACATACCTTCTATCTTGTGAATTACTTAAAAGTTGTACTTCTATGAAAACAAAATTGTCGCCAAATAATTAGAGAATATAGTTAAATTATTACATATCTACATTTTATCACGTTTACATTTTAAATTACACAGTGTTAGTACTAGTAATAAATACTTTTTATTATTTTGTTGAGAGTAATGCATAACTTTTGATACAGCCGATCGCTACATTTGATTATACTCAATTCTCTTTGGCTTTGTAATAATGCTTGGTTAGATGCCCTTCTTATCCTGGCAGGGCCAACTCTGCGCTGCGCAAGAAGAAAGTCCTTTGGCAAAGTGAGTGTCTATGGTCGGCGGTATCGCTTAACATCAGGTTGCCCTACCCGTTTGCCCCCTATAATATAAAAATAATTAATACGAAGTTCCCTCAGTTTAATATTCGAAATAAATAAAGCGACTATAAACTTTTCAAGAAACTGATGCATCTTTTTATAATTTGAACTAAATGTAACATATTAAAACATTTCTCATTTTCGTTTAAAATATTAATCTGTTTCACAAGTGAAGCTGGTGGCTAAATTTGCTCAATGTGAGGTACATTAGTAGCGTAGGTACATATTTATGTAAAGCATCTAGTTGTATATATTATTTAATTATGTACGTTTTAATAATACGTATGGAAGAGTGTTAAGTATTTGCTTTTGGAAATCAAAGGTTGACTTACCTTATGAAGAAAATCACCGAAGTGGTCAGAATAATCATATTTTACGCTTGCCAAAGCATATAAAATTTATACGTACCAATGCAACAATGTAAATCAAATGCGGAGACGTAAGATAAGTTATATTAAATATAATTTGATTATGATTATAATGGACGTATGTATATTGCGCGTGGCCGTGAACTTATCTCGCTCGAGTCGCCATTATGTTTTATTGTAGTGCCCCACTTCCCTCCCTACATGCTGTCGTCATGCTAAAAATAAACAATTTTCACACAGTAAAACAAAGTTACCTTACTAATGAATAAAGGTTGTACACAAATACATTCAGAAAAAAGTAGTTAGAGTGGGTAAGAAATTTTTCAAGACTAATAACACTTAGCACGAGTAAACTTTGGCTATAAAATATCGAACGTCCCCAACCAGCTGAAACTTAGATGATAAAAGTGCAACATTAAATATTGCTCTAAGCTTCCGGAGTTTAATAGCTCTTTGCCTAACAGAATTTTATCTGGCAGTACGTAAATAACAAGGGATCAAAAATTAAATACCAAATCAATTAAGTACCTACTTGTTCACCTTTCATAAATATATTGGCCTTTTATTTACGCGATTATACCTAGTCTTGCCATAAATACTGAAACAAAGAAAAAAAATTATATTGCAAATAGCATTTATTACTTTTACAGTGTTAGTTTAATACAAAATAATTCAAAATATTCGAAGTGGTCTCCATGGCTTCAATACAGTCCTTTAAACGTTGTGGCCAGTTATCAATAGAAGCACGCACTATTCCCATGCGAAAATTCTTCACTCGTACGGATTGATTTAGGGACTCCAAATTATCATGGCGTTTAGAGCAAGCCGTACTCTCTAAAACTGTCCATAATTCATAATCCAGCGGATTAAGATCGGGACTAGAAAACGACAATTGTTGGTTATTGAACATGGTGTTGTTAAGGGGTTTCACTACCTTCTCAAGAATGGTATCTTGATACACTTGTGCCGATGTTTTGATACCTTTTTCACAAAATTATGGCTCAGTCTCTCCTTCATAGCCAATACCCCACCAAACCATCACTGAAGTCGAATCAATGAATAATCATATAAAAATGACAGATTCCAAATTCAAATGTAATATTTTGTTAATTTTAAATTTTAAAAGTATTTATGGCCAGACTAAGTATATAACCCTTCCAAACGTCAAACAAAAAAAACAAAATTGGTATTTTATTATATTTCCCAACATACGTTAGCTTCCTCTTACTAGGCACTCTTTCATTAACTTTGTTCCCATTTGGTCCATTAGTATAGAATTAAAATATGTACTAGTGCAATACAATAACTGCAGGATGCAATATGCAGTAAGCGCAGGACGTCCGGCTGGAGTGGACCAGCGACCTTGTCAACTTGTTCTATTCTTATACATATTTTTCTACAGGAGCTCAGAACACGGTTTTGTATATAAGTTGACATTTTGTAATACTGAGTTGGAGAAAAAAATAATTTAATATTATTAAAAATAAAATCAAAACAAATTTAAAAAGTTTGGTCCCTGTGGCAGTGTACCTTTAACGCTGGCAGCATTTCCTCGCTGTATTGCAATACTTATTCGTTAAGCCAAACACTAGCACCCTTTTGGACCCTGAATCACTTCGCATTGCCATCAGCCTCCGCTTAGGAGTGCCCATATGTACTCCCCATAAGTGTCCCTGTGGCTTTGAAGTAAGTAGCCTTGGACACCATTGCCTACATTGCCAAAAGAGTGCAGGTTGTTTTTCTTGCCATACCGCGCTCAACGACATTATACGCCGCTCTCTTGCCTCCGTCAATGTTCCAAAAATTTTGGAGCCAACAGGCATCGCAAGAGACGATGGCAAGCGGCCGGATGAAATGTCGTTGATCGCTTGGAAAATGAGACGGGCTTTAGTAT